AATATGATAGTCGAGAACTAAAACAAATGATGTTACTTCTTATAAACTAAACATTTATTAATGATCTCAAAATAAAAAGCCATGACCTTCAAGATATTCATATTGTTCTTTTGAAGATGATCTTTAAGATTCTTTTTAGAAAATAAAATCCTATAGGATAATCTCAGAAAATTCTGTTTATCTCCTAGAGCTCTAATATTCCAAGTAAGTATTATTAGTAACTATCTGCCGGCAAACGACGTTTTTCTTTTTTTTTTTTTGGTATGTGTGTTCTATTTTCTTCCCAATATCTGTTATATTTCCGAAAAACTCATTACATCTTATGAATGGCCTTCTATATTCTATAGGGAGAAATAGTTTAATCTTTCTTGTTATATTTCATTTCGATAAGCGAATACTTTGTCGTTTTCTTTTGGCTTAAAATCTCGGATTTCCTTAATGCGTGATAGTGTTTTTTTTTCTTTTCTTCTCTTCTCTTCTTTCTATTAAGACAACAAACCTCGTTGGATTTGTTGATAAATGAATAGATATTTGTTCATTATTATTTAATGGTGATGATCGAACAAGATTTGATGAAATTTGTGGACATGGCCATGTTAATGTTGTTTGACGTTGATGTTCAGGTGATGGTCGTCGTACATAATCAGCAACATTAGCAAGAATATGTGCAACATCTTCTTCATCACGTGTATTAGCTTGTTGTATTGATATTGTTGATGATGATGATGATGATGATAATGAATCAATTTTTTTATGTGCATTACTTAAATGATATTGTAATGCTATATTTGATATAAATTGTTTATGACATTGTAATTCAGGACATGATATTAATTGTATATCATTATTAGTTGATGAAATATATGGTGATATTATTGATGATGAATTATTTATTGTTGATAAATCATCAATTGTATTTAATTGTAAACGTTTTGATTGTCGAGATTTAATATTATTACGTAGTTTACGATCATCACATCCTGTATTAAATGTATTTGATGATAATTGTTGAAATGATGATGATATTGTTTGATAATTTGAACATCGATTATTTCCACTTATATTCGAACGTTTTGCACGACTAGTTTTACTACTATTACGAACATCATAATCACTAGTCGGTGATTCACATGTTAATCTATATTAAAATAATAAAAAGTATTAACATTTGTTTTTTTGTTCTTTTTTTCTTTTACCTCGGACAAGCCCAATCTTGTTTAGTTGAATCTAATAATGTACCTACATAAGTTTTTCCTCGCCATGTTACATTTACAACAAGTACACCTGGATAAAATAAAACATAAAAAAAAAAAAAAACCTTAAATAATTATATTTGATAAAAATTTTTAAAAATTCATTATCAAAAGATTTTTTTTTTTTTTCTTATTTTATTGACAAGGTCAATCCTTGAAAAAACAACCTATACACTTTACATACAGGTGAGATAGGTAAAATTAATCTATTGCAAATAGAAAATGAGAAGTTTTACTTATAATAAACAATTGATGCGTATCAACGTATATGATTAATTGATTTTGTATCTTACATACATACATACATATATATATACAGAACTATTAGTTGAGCCGGAAAATAGAAATATGCCGATGGGCATAGAGTATCTTGACGAGGAAAAAAGCTTCCATCCATCATCAAAAGACATGATGATAAGATTGCACACACACACACACTTATTCATCGAGAAAAAATACGACATGTCTTACGTTGTTCTGTGACAACATGCCATATGACAGAAAACGGGGAAACACTTGCATGTAAAAAGAAGAAAAAAAAAAGGAAGAAACTTCATTCGTTCTCTTTCATCCTTGTCATCAATAAAGCACATATATATATATATATATAAATACATAAAAAACAGTGGGAGCATCTGTTTAGGTTTGATTATTTATGACCGATGTTACAGAGCACATATTCATATGTGTACGATTATGATTATTATTATTTTTATTATGATGATCTAGGAAAAAAAAAATACTATTGTGATTACTTACCACTGTCAGTTTCATTCCAAACGATGCCTTCTAAAATCACGCTGGTACCCTAATAGAAAAACAAAGAATATTATCAAGGAAATGAGATTTAACGAAAACAAAAAAAAAAAAAGAAACAGACATACAGGCTCACAGGGACCAAGTTGATCAGGCTCAGTAGCCAAACCAATAGAGACTGTTTCAACACTAGCATCCACTTTAGTTGTTGTTGTTGTTGATGATTGCTTAAGAAAAAAAAAATAATAATAAACTTTTTCTTTTCTTTTCTTTTTTTTTTATTGTCGTATTTTTAATTTCATCATAATAAGTAATGAAAATAAATTTAGAAGAAAAAAAAAAAAAATATTCTTTTCAACTTACATTTAAATCATCTTGTTTAAATCGTTTTTTTGATGATAGATCATCAATATTTGGATTTAAATCATTATTATTATTATCAATTGTTACAGAACGTTTTGTTGCTTGTTGTTGTTGTTGTTGTTTACTATTAAATGCAGGTGAAGATGATCGACGTGTTGTTTGATTTGTAATAGGACGTTTTAAACGTTGATTATGTGTTGTTGTTGTTGTTGTTAAACGAGAATTATTATTTTTAGTATCGTCGTTAGCCATTGATAATGAAGTTGAACTATGATTGATTTGTTGTTTTGTCGTTTGACGTTTTATTTTAAGTATAAGCGGTGATGATGATAGATTATTATTAACATCATTTGAATTTGATTGTTGTTGTTGTTGTTTTTGTTTTTGTTGGATTTTAGACGTTATTGTTGTTGGACGTTGTTCAATTAGAAGATTCATCGCTTGACAAGCCACCTCATACTGTTGTATTATTTTATTGAGTTATGATATTTATGTTTGAATGTATATAAGGTATTCCTATTCAAAAGAAAGAACAATAACAAAATGCACATAGGAAAGAGAGAGAGAGAAAAAGAAAATAACGCACGTATTGACAATTAAGGACGGGTCCGGATTAGAAGAAAGTCATATGCCTATTACTATTACTGCTGCTGTTGACTGCTGCTACTGCTGCTGCTACGATTTATTCCGTTCCCTTCTCTTTCTGTTTTTTTTCCTTCTCGTGTAACGGGTCAGTCTATTTCACATTTGTGAAGAACAAAGAAAATATTAACATGACGAGAAAAAGAAAAAAAAAAAAAAGAAGAAGAAAAGAAGACCCTTTGTCGTTCTGCATATATATATATTCTCTTTTAGGGTGTGCATTTTGCTTTCGGAGAGTGATGATTACCGTATCGTTTTTTTTTTTCTTTTTTTTTTCTTTCTTTATCGTCTCTAGAGAGAAATGAATGTGCCGATGCAGAAAAGATATTATTCTCTTCCTTTCTTTTCTATCGTTCGTTCGGTCGCGTCCGAAGAACGAGAGAGAGAGAGGGAGAGAGAGAGAAGAAAAGTGTAGGCTCTCACTTGCCTTCCTAATGCCTATCTTCTTCTGCATTTTTATATGTTGTTGCAAGAGTTTTAGGCTGACACACGTTCTTTACTCGTTCGTTTTTCTTTTCTTTTCTTATATTCTTTACTAACATGCAAGCGGATTCGTGGCTTACAAATGCTATTACTCTTGCTTTTCTTTGCTTTCTCATCAACTCATTTCCATTTTCACTATTATTCTTGTCGACAAGATGTTTTAGATTATGTTGACAAATTTGTAGTTATACTAACTACAAGAAATCTATATTTGTATATAGATATATATACCTATAATCAGAGTTGCACTTGAATCGTTTTGCTATTTGTCTCATTCTTTCTTTCATTTAATACATATATATATATATATTTTTTTTTTTTCTTTTCAAGAGATTCTTGAAATCTATTGAGAACGAAGCCTTGTTTTTTTTTCAATTGACGTCTCGATTTATTTTTCTTTTTTTTCTTTTTGTATTTCAATAGTTTATAACAAAAAAGAAAGAAATGAATCTAATACTATTTCCTATCTTGTCGTTGTCTCAATCTGTGTACAATGTAAATATGTCTATTAATCGTAATGGCAATGGTCTCATATGGCAATAATAATGATGTTTTTGAATCTTTACATTTGCTTCTTCTTTCTATGTACATAAGAAAATAAACGAAGTAATATATTCTATTTATATAACCTTTTTCTTTTTTCTTCTTTTTTAAACAATCTTATGAACTTTTAAATTTTCTTTTTTTTGTTTTTTGATTATATTATTATAACTGAAATCATAATTATTTTTCTTTTAGTTACTATTTCAAATAAAAAAAAAGAAAAAAAGTAAAACAAAACATTGATTTTAATAGAAATAAAAACGGAAATTTTATAATGACAGGAAACTGCAATGATGAATAGATATGCATCACCTCCTCATTGACTAAAGAGAATGAATAATAACAATTGACTTGACTTGCTTGATAGAATATATAAAAGAAGAAGAAGAAAAAAAAAAGAATTCTATCCACTTGAATTAACAATGATGACATGAGAAAATTTCCATGTTATTAAAAGAAAAGAATGAATTATTATTAATCTTTTTTTTTTTTTCTTCTCTTGTTCATTATCATTTATAAAAATGACATTAGAGATCAAATAATACATCTGAAATCGATATACATTCTTTATTTTGTTGTCATTATATAAATATTTCTTTTTTTTTTGTTTTGTTTTTGTTTTTCTTATTGTTTGTCTGATGATGATACATTAATAATAGTGTTAATAGTAAACGAAAGAAAGAGAGAAAGAAAAAAAAAAAAGAATTTACATGAGAGTTGTATATGTCTCTTTGGGAATATCGAACATTCGACTAGAATATATAAACTGAATGAAAGAATATATATATACACAAAAACAATAAGAAGAATAACAAAAAAAGAAGAAGAAGAGGACCCATTGTTTTTTTTACTAGACATCAGAGCACCTTGTCATACATGTTATATAAAAGAGAGACAAAAAAAAGAAATAAATGAGTATCTGAACAAACACATATATATATATATATATATAAATACAAATTAATGTAATGATTTTGATAATGAAGAATAATTTGATGTATTTAAATAAACTTGTGTAGGAATAGTATGTGATGTTGAAGATAATTTATTAAATGATCCTAAATTAAATGAATTTGTTGAATATAACATATCATTAGTAAAATGATATGGTATTAATTTATCATTTGATGTTTGTTGAATAATTGTATTTGTTTTATTTTCTTCAATATTCATTATTAATTTTGAATTTGATAAATCAATTGGTATTGTTGTATGATTTTCAATATTATTTGATAATAATGGACTTGATGATGTTGTACTTGTACCACTTGTTAAAGGACTTATACTATGACTTGAATAATTATCACCTAAATCTTCATCAATATTAATAGTTAAATTTTTTATAAGAGTTTTTTCTTCATTTATTTCATCATCATCATTATGATTAGTATTTAATGATGATGATGATGATGGTATAATAAATTTTTCAATTATTTTTCTATTATCATCGATTTTTGTTGGTGGTATTTCAGGCATTTTAAATGAATTTATTTTTGTTGTTGAATTTGGTATTACTGTTGTTGTTGTTGTTGAACATCGACGTTTACCATTACGTAAAATACGTTCAGTTGTTTCATATGTTGAATTTAATTGATGATCACGATTATGATTTTGTTTTATTGTTGAACGTATATCTGATTTATATCTATTATAAACAAATATTAAAAAAAAAAAACAAAATTTTCATTATTAATATACCGTGGTGGTGCCCAATTTTGTTCAGTTGTATTTAATAATGCACCAACATAAGTTTTACCTATCCAAAAAAAAAAACAATAATATCAATATATATAATTGATAAAATAATTTACCACGCCAAGTAATATTAACGACAAGTACACCTAATTAAATAACATAATAAAATAAAAAAATAGAAAATATTATTTATTTTTACCTTTATCAGTTTCATTCCAAACAATACCTTGTAAAACAACATTTGTACCTGGTTCACATGAACCAAATGAAGTTTCATCTGTTGATGATGATTGATCATTTGTTTTTAAATTTAATGTTTTTTTATTATTATTTAATTCATCCTTTAGTTTAGTCATACGTTGTTTTTTCTTAAAATAAATACAAAAAAAAAACAACAAAGTATTTAAATAAATCAATTGACAGATTTACACAATTATTCTATCTCATTAAGATAAGTATTTGTCGAACGACAAATAGCAGACAAACATAGAACAGGACAAGAAAAAAAAAAAAAGAAATAAAGCAGCTGCAAGAGTGTGTGTGTGTGTATATATTCACAAAGAAAAGTAAATAGGCACAACATACACACGCACACATCAAGATATCATTATCCCTCGGGGATGCCGCGTATGTGAAAAAGAAATAAAGATTGAATTTCCTTTCTATCTTTTGCGCTTCAATAGTCTTTATATATATATATATATATATTACCTTTTTCTTTGAAACTAGTTGTTCTTTATTAATATTGTCATTATTTATATCATTAATAACATTTGATTTACGTTTACGTGATGATGTTTTTGTTGTTTTAACTTTAAATTCAACAGTTGTCGTTGTTGTTGTTGTTGTCAATAAAGTTGTATCATTTTCATTATTATTATTATTAGTATTAGTATTTGATACTAAAATTTCTTGTTTCATTATATTATTACAATCAATAGAATTTTTTTCTTGTTGATAATGATGATTATTATTATTATTATTAATATCTTCAAATTTTTCTGTTGTTGAATTTATTAATAAATCATTATTTTTATTACGTGGTATTGAAAATCGTAGACGTTTATTAGAATTTGAATGTAATGGTGGTGAATTGATCATCATTATATAAGATTAAAAAAACACAGATGTCATCTAGAATATATAAAAAAAAAAGAAAAACATATCATCATAAACAAAAAAGGATAAATTCTCAAATAAAAAAATCAGCAGCTGGACTTTTCATGCTGATTCGCATACATCTATATATATATAGTACACAAATGATTGCCTTTGCTTTCTCGTCTCTCTCTCTCTCTCTTCTCGTTTCTTTCGCCGCCATTACCGCACTAGAATAGCCACTTCACGCACACACACACACACACACTTTTCTGCTCTCCTTTTTTTTTCCTTCAACACAAACATAATTTATAGATCTACTCGCCCTTTGCGCTCTCTTTCTTTCTCTTATACGTATTTAACGCTTGTCGAACACTTGAGTGTATACAATTACAAATTCGCTAGACCTTTATGTCGTTCATCATGTGATAGTATACATATACGATGAACTTACCTCCTCCTCCTTCTTCTTCTTCTTCTTCGTCTTCTATTCTCTCCTTCATTCATTTACTGCAATCAATTCTTACACACACACATATATATATATATAACTAATATTAAAAAAGAAAAAATCATCAAACGACGCGAATGATTAGAATAACAATTGACATCAAGTGGGAGTATACGATAGGACACAGTGACTAGGAATTCACTTAATATGAAAGAATGAACAAATGAGAAAAAAACGTCCCCCCCCTTCTCCCTTTCTATTCTTTTTTTCTTCTTCTTTAGTCTCGATTAGTAAATTCTATTGTTAAAAGGCATAGTGTCGCAACTTCGTTATTAGTAGACATCGAACAAATATTGAATTTCAATCTTATCCTTTACTATTACATATAAGATACAACAAGTATTACTCTTTTCATACTAAACTTTTTACTTATGAATATATATATATATATATATGAAAAAAAAATAAATAACGAATATCTATATGTCAGCAAATAAATAACAACCCTGTATATACAAATCAAGGTGAAATATATGATCGATGTTGTCATTTGAACGACAAATTGTTAGTATGCATATATATATATATATATGTATGCAGTGATAACAATATGCGCACCTATTCTTATTGATTATATCACATACACATTGAACGGATTAACTCAATTGGTAATACTGGTGTCTCTCATGACATTTTATTCTTTTAGTATTGTGCGGTTTTCTTTTTTTTTTTTTTTCTTCATAGACACGATAAATTGGTTGATTAAATATTGACTGTATACACACATTGATGAAAAGAGAAGAAGAAGAAGAAAAAAAAAAAAAAAAGAAAGAGATGATGGCAGCAGTAAGACAACGAATAAGAAAGAAGTCACTAAGCTACAGGGAGTTTCTTTCTCTAACTGAGCAACAAACATCATACATGCCGATATTGTTGATCTTTTCATGTCAATGACACTCGCGCGCAAGCGCTAATTACAATAACCTTCCGCAGTAAACAAACTGTTTTCATTTAGTTATTTTCTATATAACAACGACTGACACTCTTTCCGCTCAAAAGAACACATAGATTGATTACTCTTCTAAGTCATGCGCGTTTACACATATTCACTTGTTCGTTCAATATAAAATGACTTCTTTTTTTTTATTCTCGAATAGAACGATATAAGAAGAAAAAAAAAGAAAGAAAGAAAGATAGAAGAAGTATACAAAAAAAATTATCATTGTCCGACATCAATTATGCATACATGATAGTCTCTTATTTCATTCAAACCAAACATCGAATAGATTTTAGTCTTTAAGATCAAAATAAAACACACACACACACACAGATAAATGAATAAAAGAATAAGAAACATCTTAAAGGTTTGCTTATATTACATATCGTGTTCAGAGAAAAAAGAAAAAAAAGAAGAAGAAGAAGAAGATGATGATGATGAGAATAACGATGATGTATGCGTGTATTATTATTATTATTATTACTACTACTATTACTGCCTTTCTACATTCTCTTCTATTGCTTTTTTTAGATAGAACAGAATCATTGAGAAAAGAGGAAACAAGCACAAGCAGAAAATACATTGTGAGAAATACAACGCGACGGATAAGAATGAGAATCGAGATTAAAATTAAACGAGAAAATCACGATTATAATGGACGGAAGAAAATAGACGGTGTGATTTCAACAAAACAAATAATTATAATGATGCTGTTATACTATTACCGTTTCTATTCAAGAGAGTTATATCGTTTCACACTCGAAAAGCAATTGACACTTCTTGTCACGCATATATATATATACATCGATGATAAACGATATAGACACATACGTGTTGAAATAAAGAAGACAAGATTTTACTTAGTTCAATAATAAATTTCATTCTTTCTTTTTTTTATTTTTCTTTTCATATATCAAAACGAACACAAACATACATATACGATATTCATACAATTAAACAATAGAAAAAAAAAGAAAACATCTAGTTCAAATAATAAGAGAGCAGTCAGTTGTCATCAAGTAATCATTACGTGCATGCCCTTTAACTCGATTGACAGACAGACACAAGTAATTCTCAAGAGACATGATTCGAATATCAAAGAAATTAGTTATCATTCGATATAGCCTTGAGGGTAAAGCTATACATACATGATGATGTATCGAATAATAAGGATAGTGAAGTATTAAGAAAGATTGTATGTATTTCTATTACACAATCATCATTTTTATATAAGTATGTTTCTACAACATAATGTTGTATAGTGCTTTTGATCGATAAAGAAAATATTGACATACAAAAAAAAAAAAAAAAAAAGAAAGAAAGTAGTCAACTAAATTTGAACAGCAATAATTAATTATTAGTTACATTACATGTTATGTCTTGTCGTCGTTATCATTTTTTTCTCTCTGTCGCTCTTACCTCGCCATCATTTTACATCAAAAAAAAAAAAAAAAAAGAAGGAAAAGTAATGCAAGCAAAGTAGTAGCGCGTTTGTTTGTCGTCACTTTTATGACATGCAATATATAGAAAAAGAGAACTCTATTTATGTGGATAAACGAAGATTTGATGAAATATGAGTTATGCATGCAGGCAAATGTAATGAGAAAGAAAAAGATATGCTTTTTTTTCTTTTTTATTATTACAATTAACTAAATGAGAATAGACATTTAATGTAAAATGACAAATACAAACTTAGATTTTTTTCTTTTCTTCTTAAATTAGAATTATATTAATATCTTTATTTATAAAACAAAAAAAAGAGAAAAGAGAAGATAATCAATAGAAAACAAGTACAGTCAGTTAATGCTAATCTTTCCTATTACACTATGTGTCTATTTACAAGTATGTATATGAGAGATAATATGATCTTTGTATACATGGAGAATAACAAAAAAAAAAAGACAGGGTAAACTCTATTTGTTGCCGTCTAACACAATTGAATCTGATCAAGACGAAAGAGTATTTCTAACATAACATACTGTTCATAAAGAGTAGCAAAAAAAAAAAGAAAAAGGAGAAGAGAATCGATGAAAGTTCACACTAGAAATGCAAAGTTAATTGTTACTATTTCTCTATTTTCTCATTTTTTCTTTTTTTTTTTTTTGCTTCTTATTCTTATTCTTTATACTCAAGAGAGTTGTTGTCTTTCATCATCTAAAAGAATATTCTATGATCATTTCTCAGTTAATCAAATGGCAAAAAAAGAAAATCGTATTGAACTGATTATTATTTTGATCAAGAGTTATTTTCAAATCATTAAATTAAATATACCTTGATAACTATCGGTTACTGTTGTTTCCTTTTTTTTTTTTTCTTCAATTACTTATTATTAACAGGAAAAGAAAACAAGAGTTGTTCATCATTATAATTGATCTTATCATATTATATATATATATATATGATGACGTACGAGATATATAGCAAAGAAAGAAGGGAAATGTACTTATAATCAATGATGGCCAACAAAATGTATTCTTTTCTTGCTTACGTCGTCAATATGGATGAACACAGGTGGAGAAACGATAACGATGACGATTAAACATCTATAGATTTGAACAAAAAAAAAAAAAGAAAGAGAAAAAGAAAAGAAGAAAGCTAAATAAATGTGTATGTATGTGTGTAAAATGCTTCACTTCTACCAACTGACTGACTACCGCCTGCGGCGATGATCAAGATGAAAATGATTAACATTCATTCAAATAATGAGTCAGTCTGTCCGCATGGATGTATGTGGCATGTGATGATGATGATGACATGCAATCGTAAAGCAAAGAAAAGAGATAGATCACGTACATGACAATGACAATAAGAAAAAAGCAAAACGAGTATATTATAGTATATAATAAAATAGCTTCTTATCGTGATTACTAAATACTATTTAATCAAGACAAATAAATATAGATTTACAAAAGAAAAGTTTTATCCATTTCAAACATATCCCATAAAGTGAGATGAGACAAAAAAAGATGAAAATCACATGAATCAACATGTACACACACACACATATATATATATATAGTATTAAATTCGACATATAAAAGCATTTTATAGTTATAAAGCATCAGAAAAGAAGAAAAAGAAATGCATGTCAATAATGAACCATTTTCAATTGAATACAGCCTACGGGGTAGCGGTCATGCAATGTACTAGTATAGCCAGTAGGCAACGATGCTCTTCCGTTCTTTTCATTGATTGATAAATCAGATAGATTGTTCTTTTATTTTTTTTCTAGTATATATGTTCAAATATATAGTCGTTATTAACAAATAATTCATTTTATTTTTCTTAAATTTTATTTGACTTTGTCTTTGTTCAATAAGAAAAAAATAATAATAATAATAATAATAAGTAACAACGATTAACCGGACAAAAAAAAAAAGAAATGTTCAATAAGAGCACCGTAATAATATCTTGACTAGTTTTTCAACGAAAAAAAAAACAACTATATATACATTGATTATATGCAAAAATTTGTATCATTTTGAAAGTCGTTTTGTTGTACTAAAAATAAAAAAAAATAATTAATATTAATTTGAACCCTTCTTTGTTTTTATTCAA